AATTTTCATGAATTACTTTTTATCTTTTTACACACTTCTTTATGCATTAAAACATTTAAAAAGTAAGTAAAATAAAAATGCAAATTATTGCTATTTAAACTATATATATATATATATAGTTTAAATAGCAATAATTTGCATTTTTATTTTACTTACTTTTTAAATGTTTTAATGCATAAAGAAGTGTGTAAAAAGATAAAAAGTAATTCATGAAAATTCATCTTTAAACATTATACTCTTAATTAAGATTTTGAAGTATTTGACTTCTATATTAATGCAAAGTAAAAAATTTGCATTTATGGATGAAAAGTCTTGTTTCTTTCTAACATTTTTGGAGATTTTATATTTTTTGTATTTAGACAAATGATTTTTTTTAACAGTTTTTAACAGTTTATGACTTAAATATTTAATCTTTAGCATGTTGTTATGGCATCTTATAAGCAATGCATGTATACAAATTCCATTGGGTATAGTGGATATTTTATTACTTACGACAGAATTGTTTTCTATTATTCTTTAATCATATTTGATTTATTTTTAAATATTGAATTGAGCCTTTTTTTATTTTTTTACTTTGATTTTGATAAATCAAATATAAAAATAAAGCTATACAAGGATAAGAACAATAGATATTTTATAATAAGTAACAAAATATCCACTAACTACATCTTATGAAATGTATGAGGTCAGTCCAATATTAAAGGCACAGGCCAAAATTACACTAACATTTACAATTAAAGAAAATATTTAATGCATTTTACAAAAACTACACACTTTTGTTTATTTCTCGACATAATTGCTGTAAATGTTGAGACATTTATCCCAGCATGATACTAGTTTGAACATCCCTTCACAGTACTGTTGCTTGAAGTAGTCAAGAACGGTGTCTTGCAATTCCTACTGATTCACGAAGTGTTTCCTTGCCAAAAATTTCTTTAAAGGTCCGAATAAATGAAAATCTAAGGGAGCTAAATCTGGACTATACTCCACATGGCAAATCAAACCAAACTGTGATTGGTACAATGGAGATCCTGCAACATCTTCTGTATGGTCCAGATTTAGCCCCCTTGGATTTTCATTTATTTGGACCTTTAAAGAAATTTTTGGCAGGGAAATGCTTTGTGAATCAGTAGGAATTGCAAGACACCGTTCTTGACTACTTCAAGCAACAGTACTGTGAAGGGATGTTCAAACTAGTATCATGCTGGGATAAATGTCTCAACATTTACAGCAATTATGTCGAGAAATAAACAAAAGTGTGTAGTTTTTGTAAAATGCATTAAATATTTTCTTTAATTGTAAATGTTAGTGTAATTTTGGCCTGTGCCTTTAATATTGGACTGACCTCATACATTTCATAAGATGTAGTTAGTGGATATTTTGTTACTTATTATAAAATATCTATTGTTCTTATCCTTGTATAGCTTTATTTTTATATTTGATTTATCAAAATCAAAGTAAAAAAATAAAAAAAGGCTCAATTCAATATTTAAAAATAAATCAAATATGATTAAAGAATAATAGAAAACAATTCTGTCGTAAGTAATAAAATATCCACTATACCCAATGGAATTTGTATACATGCATTGCTTATAAGATGCCATAACAACATGCTAAAGATTAAATATTTAAGTCATAAACTGTTAAAAACTGTTAAAAAAAATCATTTGTCTAAATACAAAAAATATAAAATCTCCAAAAATGTTAGAAAGAAACAAGACTTTTCATCCATAAATGCAAATTTTTTACTTTGCATTAATATAGAAGTCAAATACTTCAAAATCTTAATTAAGAGTATAATGTTTAAAGATGAATTTTCATGAATTACTTTTTATCTTTTTACACACTTCTTTATGCATTAAAACATTTAAAAAGTAAGTAAAATAAAAATGCAAATTATTGCTATTTAAACTATATATATATATATATAGTTTAAATAGCAATAATTTGCATTNTTATTACAAATATCGTAAATAACAGTTCACAAATGCATATATAGAGATATTTTTTGAAATAGGGGGAAATGGTCTTCACAATTTGAAATCGATCGAACACACTGTCTCAATACACTCGTATAAACGCGCGCCATCTATCGTGGATTAAATGTACTATGCAAGAAACCTTCGCGGGAGTGTATTAAAAAACTTTCCTAAGTTTTATGGCAATCGTACTATGCCACAAACCTGCGCAAGAGTATATTAAACAACTTCCCAAAGTTTCATGGCAATCAGATAAACAGTGTGGTAATGCATGAAGGACATAAGACAGACACACAGACACACATTCATTTTTATATATATAGATTATCAATTTTTTCAATCAGTTCTGTATTAAGTTATGTTAAGAAAAATTTTATTAGAATTGGGCAAAATGTATAGCCAGATATAAATGAGGCAGCAAAAATGTAACCACTGGATAAATATATTTCAAAATAATATCAGTACACAGTCAATATTCAGGAAATGACTTTTGAAAGTCACAGTATGCAAATGGCATATCTTTGGGTATGTACTGATGTTATTTTGAAACACATTCATCCAGTGATTATGTTTTACTTCCTCATTTATATCCTGGCTATACATTTTGTCCAACCCTGTAAAAGTTAAAAAATATAAAATTTTATAATAATCTACTTGAAATAAATGACAAATCACTCAAAACATTACATTTGATATCATATTAAAAATTTCTTAAAAAACAAAATATTCTATTCTTTAAGATATTTTTAATATGCTTATCGTTTTTTAATTTTTTATATATATTATTAAAACATTAAACATTTATAAAATTGAAAGTATGTTTACAATTTCATATATATGAAATGTTCTAAAAATTTTTGTTTCCATTACTATTACTAATTAACAACAAATAAAAAATTACCTGTTCAGAATTATAAAATTATAAAAAAACAACAATGAAGAATTACATATTTACATAAAATGAAAAAACATACTCATCAAGGTTGATGTCTAAAGCTTTATGAGGATCATCTGGATTTCTATCATCATCATCTTCATCATCAGTTAATCTAGCACCATCAGGCATTTCTTCTTTTAATATTGTCACCTCATGAACAGCAGAAATATCATCTTCACTATCAGTTAAGACATGTTTTCCTTTTTTGGTTTTTCTTTTTTTCTTTTTATTTTTCCTTTGTGTATTCTTTGTTTTAATATTATGTGTATTTAAATATTTATCAGAAGAAATTAATCCTGCAATACAGTTTAAGAAAACAAAAGATTAAGAGTAAGAACTGTTTGAAATGTCTTTATTTATAAAAATAAATCAATGCTTGTCTTTAGGTCAATATGCACTTTATGTCAATATGCAATCAGAAAGCTCACATTATATAATACTACTACTAAATGTTTAGGTAAGAATAACTAATTGTACTTTTATACAAATTACGAAACTTTGTATACATTACTTTAAATTACATAATTTCAGAATATTTAATTTTCAGTGATACATATATTATATAAAAATAATTAGCAAACCAGACATGATTATAACAGCATTACTTGTTTCTTATAACATTATCAAAACAACAAATTAAATATTGCTAATAAATAATTATTTTCTCATTAAAAAATACATTATTTACATGAAAAAACATATATTTTCTCTCTTTAATTATAACTGACATTTAGCAGGCTCAGAATAAAACCAATTAAACAAATTTTTTTTTTTAATTCTCCTTAATTCTCTTGCTTATTTAGAAAACTTAATTTTATTATGAATTTGTTTTTATATCTAGTAAATTAAAAACAAATGTATTGATTACATTTATAACTATAAGTTACTTACTTACTATATTTTTATTGTCTAAAAGCATTTCATTTAAATTACCTGGTATATGTAATGGAACAGTTAAATCAATATGAGCAACAGGAATATCATCCACCATTTCATTCATGTCATTCTGAAATAATAAAATATTACTAATTAATTCATTAATTCTTAAGTTTAAAATCAATTAAGTTTACTATTAAACCTTTGGAACTTTTCTGTTTTATCCCCACCAGTTGCATTGCATGTCACATTATGTTTGAATGTGAGCTGTCACATTGCTTACAAAACAACGAAAGCATTTAGTTCAAGAGAACAAAATTTTATACCTTTCCAACTTTATGTTGTTTCCCAGATTCCCTTTCTTTCTTTTTTTTAATTTTATTCTTTTCATTCTTCTCTTCAACTTTATTAGGCATTACAATATGGTGTGTTCGTACAGGTAGTTGTTCATCATCTCGAAGAGGTCTAAATAAGTATAAAATAGTTAAATGAAGTTTCTGTAGAAATGCAATTTAGTTTATTCATAGTCAGAAGCTAATAATATTAATAGTATCTCATAATGTTTAATCAAGAATAAATTTTGTATGCTATGAAACATTCCTAAATTATTAGGATCTATAAGTACAATATATCCATCATATAAAACTATGTAATAAATATAGCATTATTTTATACTTTACTAGCTTACCCGTTCAATTGGCTACTATTATGTTTATTTCTTAATTTTGGAATTAAAGAAAAAATATAAAAAAAAGGAAACCCTTTCCTAAGTTTTGTTCTATTTATTGATACAATTTAAAATATTTTATGTCTTCAACATTCATCCATAAAAAGGCATAAGGTATATTAACAATTTTTAAAACAAGAAACACACACACTATCACTTTACAAGCTTTATGATTGGTCTTATTTTTTGTAACTATTAAATATAATTTTATGTTTAATAGTTACAGAGTCTGCTGCAATCAAACATTGTGATTCAAAAGTTTTAAATCTATCAAAGAATTTAGGAAGTACAGATATAAATGACTTCAAACATTTTCATTTTAATAAAAAAAAACCCTGTTCAAATTGAAATAAAAAAAAAACACTAAAAACTTCTTTATACAACTAATTATGAATGAAATAAGAATGAATGATCAATTATGAGTGAAATAAGAATGAATGATCAATTATGAGTGAAATAAGCAAAAATGACTTTTAATGAAGGTAAAAAAATAAACAAACTTCAGATAAATAAAAAATTGTTTTAATGCAAAAAAAGCATTTTTGAAAAATATCTTCACATCATCAATTTAATATAAATACTGATCAGAGAAAATATTTTTGATACTGCTTGGCCTTAAATTCAGTTTTAAAATTTGTTAATAAATAATTTTATTGGGAATAATATATAATTTATAAATTTTTAAAGTAAAAAAAAAATTAACTGTACAATATGAATGTAAAAGCATTATACAATGTGTTCAATTTAACTTTTATCCATGTACAAAATAATCTTTCCAGTATTGTAGTGTATCATTTATGCAATAGAAAAGTATAATCATTTTACAATAGAGTTTGTGAGTATAAGACATTTCATTACTGCTTTACCAATTAGTAGACTGCATGATGTTAACCCTTTTATTGTTATCAGCATTGTGTGTTACCACAAGATTTGTCAACATGACATTAATAATAAGCATCTTGTTCTTACGACTAGAAAATTTCTGTACTGTCATACAATTTACACATATCTCTTTATTAAACAAATTATTTTATTTTACTGTAAACACCACAATAAAATTAATGCACCATCTGCATATACTTGTGCAATGCTGAAAAGATATTTTTGTACGGTACTTGGATAAATGTAAAGTGAAAACCTTGTTTACTTTTATATTATTTGTGCATGTGTGTATGTATGTAAAGAATATAAAAATGACATCAAGGTAAAATGAATTAGGAACAAATTTTTACTTTTTGGATTTTACTTAAAAGCAAAAAATAATAATTATATTTGATGATTAGATGTGCAAAATCTTAGTTCATTCCAACCAATTTTTAGAACCAATTTTTCAGAATTTTTAGTTATATATCAGTAAGAAAATATATATTGATTGATTTATTTTTTTATTCTCTTTAAAAAAACTTATTATTATTAATTATTACAAGCAATTAATGCTCAAAATAATTAATGATAATTCAGTTTTGGATTGGATTTAAAGAAAATTTAGTAGTTTTAATACTTGAAATTTATATTCTTATTATTATTCACACTGAATAAACAAATTTCTGCATAATTCTATTTTTCGTGTTAGCTGCATTGCTATTTTATCAGTTGCAAGAGGCTATTTTTTGTCATAACACCAGACCATAAAGATTAATACTGTTTATAATAAGTTTAGTAAAATTTTCTTTTATCAACAGTCTGAACAGTAATTTCACACAAAACAAAATCATCAATTCATTAAAATACTACAATGGCACTGTTATAGACTCTACTTTCAGCAATGCATGTGCACACACACAAAAATATATAATATACATATACCTATCTAAACAATATGAAAATTAGATAAGACAAGAAGCAAGAGATAATAAAACGCAAATAAGTAAATATATATACATATATATAATCATCTCTTATTGCTATTCTTTGAAAATAATCCAAATATGAAAAAATCAATTACAGTAATTGAATTTACACATTTTAGAATGTTACTCATTGTACATGAAAACCAATTTTAAAACCAATGTGACACAAATGAAAAAAAAAAACAGCATAAACAATTTTAAAACTCCAATTTTAACTTATAACAAGATAAAAAAATATTTTATATATGTTCTAGTTAAATTGTAATCAAAGTACATAGCCTTTTTTTTTTTTTTTTCAAGCTTTGATCCATAAAAGAAAAGACAAGTGTAAATATCAAAATGAATTTATTACCAAAAGTTAGGTACAAACATGGTTACTTTACGACATAACCACTGTGAAGATTGAGGCATTTGTCATATCTGTGGATGAGCTTTTCCATCCCCTTGTCATAGAATGTTGCCACCAATGACTTGAGATGTGCCCTAACGTTGTTTTGATCATCATCATTAGTCTCAAACCTCTGCCCTCCTAGCAACTTTTCCTATTCAGGAAAAAGGTGGAAGTCGCTCGGCGCTAAATCAGGACTATATGCTGGGTGTTCAAAGATGGTGAAGACTTCCACCTTTCAGACTTCCATCCAGCTTAAAACTTTTTAATGTGTGAAGATTTCCACCTCTTTCCTGAACTGAAAACGTGGCTAGAAGGGCAGAGGTTTGAGACTAATGACGATCTTCAAAACAACGTTGTTAAGGCCATCTCAATTTACTGGCAGCAACATTCTATGACAAGTGGATGGAAAAGCTCGTCCACAGATATGACAAATTCCTCAATCTTCACGGTGATTATGTCGAAAAGTAACCATGTTTGTACCTAACTTTTGGTAATAAATTCATTTTGTTATTTATACTTGTCTTTGTTTTATGGACCATAGGAGCTTGAAAAAACTGCTCTCATATATCCAATTTTTTATAATAGCATAAAAATAAAAAGTAAAAGTCCAACAATTATCATGGCTTGTAATATATAAACAAAAATCTTGTTAAAAAGAAAGAAAAAAATAGTGTTTTAAGAATTCATAAATTCCAAAGAAAAAGAGTATGCTGAACATTTTAAATTTCAAAATGAGAGGGTTTTTAAACAAATAATAAAGTTGTTAAAATAATTACCTATGTAGTCAAAAGTTTATTTATTTTTAACAAAGTCATTAATATTTAAAATTACTTTCAAAAATTATATTTAAATAACTCATAATATTTTAAAAGTTTTACATCTAAAGTTGACTTTACAAATAAATAATATAGCAAAGTCTCATTGACAGTTTTAATCAACAAGAAATTAAATAATGTAATACAGTGGTACCTCAGGATACAAAATTAATCCGTTCTGAAACTGAGATTGTATCAAGAAAGTTGTAAGGTGAATCATTTTTCCCCATACAATTACATGTAAAACCAAATAATTCATTCCAACACGAAAAACACACTCAAATTAAAGCTAAGTAGTACATTAAAAAAAATAACTATAGTAAGGAAAAATGCTGAAAAATGCATTTTGTAGTTGTAAATGTATAAATAACCATAATAGAATAATAACTGATAAAAAAAAATGTAGTTTTATTTGCACTTTACCTTTGAGGATAAACGATGGTGAAGATGTAAACTGGTGGCCGAGGAGAGGGAGAAGGGAAATGATACTAAAACTTAACTTACATAACA